TCCGTTCGCTAGCGATGACTACCACGACCACCAATTTTTTTCAAGATCGCTGCCACGTGCTGTCCTAAGTACGCAATTACGACCTATACATCTCCAGGATACAGAGTGTAATGTAGGACACCATGTTGATTTTGACGTGGACATGGATCATGGAGCATTTCTAGCCTATGTAGCGATTTAGTTCAGGAAACATTCATTGACCGGAAGGAGCGAAGGGCTATACAAATGCTGAAAAAGCCCCCTCCTAACCCCCGTTGAATGACATGAAATACGGTTTGACCTCTGCGCAAAATGAGTCTGGCCTTAATGTTCAAAAGGTAGTAATGTGCGGAAAACGGTTCCCTGGACAAATAGATTCGGATCTCAATAGATGCTGCTTTGTGCAGGGACGGCCCTAGAAGCAGCTCCTTGGTCCAATAGCTTATCAGGCCTCTCTCAAGTTCACACGAATGGACATCAACCTAAGTTCGTCGTTAAAAATATAGCATCCTGCTTCCAAATACTGGTGTCGTTGAAGATTGTCCGGTAAAGGGGATGGGGTGAGAGCGGTATGGTCCTTCTTACAACTACTTGAGTTTGGCCTTGGCAGCTCTTATGTTCGAGTCAGAGCGGTGAAGAAAAAATTAGAGGGCGGTGCGGAAATGAATAGTTGTCCATTCCGTACAAAAAAGAAGTGACAAATAAAAAGGATAAAGGATAAAGTCTTCGCCGTTGATCAATCCCTTTGTGGGATGCGGCACGCATTCTACTTCCATTCAGAATCGTAGTGGCTTATTGAATGCGATGTGGCCTATACAATGACTTGCGGTGGCCAGCCGATGTACAAATCAGTGTTTTTATCCTCCCAGGCAGATCTTGTACCGATATTATCCCCGGTGGTAGGAGGCCTAGTTGGCCTGGGCGAGAAACGGGCTTTCATCCTCGGACCGTGCGCATGGTAAGCGTGCCGCTTGTCATTACAGCACCTCCGCCTCATAATTGATAAGGGAGCGGAAAAAGTAGAAGAATCGAGTGGGTGCTGATGCTCACATTGCTGGCAGCACCTTTTGGTGCTAGGGCAAGTATTTCATGGTCGAAAATTGTGACAATTTCCCCGCTAATCTAGTAGTTTGAATTGACCCCGATCTATCCTACTCTTCAAAGATTCAGATCAGATTCTGACCAAGGTGGAAAGCTCTGGCAAAAATTTCGAATTCAGGAAAAACCCTCTGAGCGTCTCTGAAGCCCCTGATAACGTCAAGAAACACCTTGGTACCCCAAGCTCTAAATCTGAGTTGCAAAGCGTTAATGAGGTTCAATTTTCGAGCAGTCTAAAAGATAAACTAGTCGAAAGTCGAATAAATAAACTAGTCGAAGGTCACTTTAGCACGATGATGAGGTCCTTTGTTGATACCTTATCAGTATCTTAAACTCTTCAGGCTATGTGAGGAGGGGGGTTAATAGCATAGTATCTTTTATAGGTAAAGCTGAAAAGGTCGAAGCTGTAACCAGCGGTAGAGAATTACTGTCTTTTGACCGTTCGGGGTGTAGAGTGTTGTTTCCAAGTTGCAGCGAATGCGGCAGAATAGGCGCAAGCTATAGCCCTGAGCGTTCGCACCAGGGCTCAGTCCTCTCGCGTAATAATGCTTAGGTGGGAGGGCGGGGGCTTCGAAGGAGAAGAATGTGATAGAGGCAGACATCACATCACAATAATCGATCCCGGAGGCCTAGAAATCCACGTCGAGGGCGGAGAGCCGGCTAGCACAATTGAGTCAATCACATCAGTCGAGAATTCAGGTTCTTCTCCAGACTTGCTGTGGGCTAACACACAATTGTGCTGGCCTCCGCCCTCTACGTGGATTTCTAGGCATCCGATGGCGGTTATTCAGTCAGAACATTAAGCGATTACAGCAGATGTACCATCTATTAGGTCATCCCATTCAAAAGTGCCGTGACATATAGAGGAATGGCAGAAAAGCAAAGGGGATAGGGAAGCGGGCTACTATACCATTTGGAGGCTAGTACCTTTAGCTGTGTATCTGTGAAATTTGGCGAACCTACCCACAGAAGAAGTTCTCGAGAAATTGAAAAGAAGCCCGAGTGAAAACAGAAAAACAGATTTCAGAAAACAGTTCCCGATTTTCAAATCAGACGTCATAAGAGGAAAGTGCGCTGCTCAAATTTGACCTGCGCCGGACCAGTAGTTGTGTGTAATGGTGTTCTCGAAATACAAGGTGGAAGTTTGGTTCAGGAGCCCGAAGAAGGAAGAAAGGAAAAAAATTGTTGTCGTGGATGGTCCCATAATGTTCATCCTGCACAAGAAAAAAGGGTGGATGAAGTCAAGCGCTGAATGTCTGATCACAGAGCCTGGACCTTTGTCGAGCTTCCCCGCGAGTCTGACATCCCAGCTGCAACTGCTGCCCGAGTTATGTCCGATAAACTGAGGATGGTCAAGAGGGTGTGCGCATGGGTACCTAATTTTCTTGTAGAAGCACGAACGCAGTACCGATTCTATACCTCTAGCAGTAATGTTCTCAGCATGAGATGTCATTCACGACTGTGAAAACGCACCCGGCCCTAGATGAAATATGGGTTCTTGGACCTCGAGCCAAAACTCACAAGCGTCAATTTTGTATGAATGCACTTTTAGGCGGTTCTATACAGAAAATAAAATCGTAGATGTCGGTGTATATTGCCTGTTCCTCGGCAATCAGATCGACAAATGGATGATACCACACAACTACAAGAAGGCCACCGTTGCTCGTCATAGTGCCAGACCCCGAGTAACTGTATTGTAGGGCAGTGCTGGGACACAAACAATACTGAGACCTGGGTTCAATCGCCCCATTCGCCCCCATAAAGCCGTTCGATTCCAACTGTTCTGGTCAGTCGAGGGTACTCTCCGACGGCAAACGCTACAATGTTTTGTCATTCGCCGAAATTGGCATCAACATCAGTTTACTCGCACTTAACTTGTTGAAAATGCGAAGGTACCAGAGGTTCAAAGGCCTTCGGGGCACTGGGAGCGGGTCATTGGTGAAGGAGGGATTTACTTAACTTGGAGCCAAAATATTACTTTTTATCTATTCTCCTCTTTGTTTTATTCAAAAAACCGACGGCACTTTTGAATGGGATGACCTAATACATATCAACCCCGAAAGAGATAAATCAACACAAGTGCCTATACTATCTTTTGAGACAAAGTTACACAAGAAATTCCTCAATTTTGATCGTGGATCTCTTCCTGATTCTCTAATGTCGACACTAGCGCTCTCTGTGTCTCTTTTTGTCAGGTCTACTAGCTAGAAATACTAGCGCATGCGGTGACAAGGAAGTAACGCTCCATGCCCCTGACTCACCTTTACAATAAAGCGGAAGAGATGGCCTCCCAGTAAGTTCATGCGCAGTCGTTCAGTGTGTTGAATGATTGCGTAAAAGGGAAATCAGACCGTAAACACTTGCCAATATCGAAACTTGTATTTGATACGGGAGAGATACACGAACTCTCCGCGCTTACGAAAACGATGACACCGCCGGCTGCTATCAATTCGAGTAGATATAGTTCGGCCCGATTCATCAGCGAAACCACTAAAGAACCTGAGCAGGTCACAAAAGAAATGTCTTTGTAATGGCGTAATCTGTCCTAATTTGTCAATTACTGCCATCGTCGTTTCAGTCACAGCTCCACCATTCGACACCTTTACGGAACAGAGCATTGTTGCCAAGGATTCAGAAGGAAAAACACTCTTTTCAAAACCACTCATCCAAGAAGTAACCGACAATATTGAATCAAAACTTAGCGGTAAGCGACATTCTCTGGTCTTCATCCTCGATTCGCATTCTTATGTGGAATTCCAAAAATGTCATATGGGTAGACAATTACCATAGAGGTCTCGAGTAGTCAAGTGTTCGACGAAAACGTTCTTTTCATCGTTATGAGTCACGTTTCGGCTAAACCAAACTTGAAGATTGGGTGATGACGAATAGACTGGACCGATGGGCGGATAGTCGCGAGGTTTCTGGCCGTCGGCGGAATTCCGCTGCTACATGGCTAATGCGGCAAAAAATTTTATTACCGCAATAGAATGTGCGAACGAAGCAACATTTCTGCACCTGTCCCGATTGCGATGCCGATGGTGGCGGTAGATTGCAACTGTGATGCTTACGTCAGCGACGGCACTTCGTTGTGGAATCGGCAAGGT